AACGCCCACGTCCCCTCCCCTCAGCCAGTCCCGCCCCTTTCGGTCCCCCTTATCCCCTTTGCGTCTGCTCATCCGATGCGGCCTGATGTTGGCATGGAGGTTTTGTGCAGCATGGTGCAGCCGACCGAATTCGAACGACGGCGGCGAGGGTGGTGGCGATCGGCCACGACGGCGGTGGTGGCAAGGTGTGTCTTCCCAGATCGGTTTTCGACGGCCACCACGGGGCCCGACAAATGGCCCCTGGATCCTGGATGTGATTTATGTATATATATATATATATATAGATATCAAACGACTAAGCCGAACTAGCTCTGGGATCCTTGATGCGCCGACGACGGCGGCGGCAGCGGGGACGAAGACGACCGTGACGATGGCGACGATGGCGGCGGCGACGGCAGCGACGTCGACATCGACGGCGGCGACGGCGACGGCGACGATGACGATGACGGGCGACGGCGGCATCACAAAGGCAGGCGTGGGAGTTGCGGCGGGACCCCTCCCGGAACCTGGCGTCCTGGCGCGCGGTGTCGCAGCTGCTGTACCGGGCGGAGGCGGCCGGCGAAGTCGCGGTGCAGGACCTACGAGAGTGGGGTGCCATGGAGGAGTGGTGTCCTTGGGATCTTGGCGTTTTATTTTCCATCGAGAACAGAAGAGCGACTATCCCTAGTAACACGATGCAGACGTGGCCTGACTTATGTTCCCGTCTTTGCGTTAGGGAGAATAGTTCTAGGCGATTTGGTCTGATACGTCTGCAGAAAGGACCCCATGCCCTCCTATCATAAGTCCCCGCCCAAAGGGTTAGGGGCACTTTTATTGCTCGTCATTTTGTCACGAGGCGTGTTCTCCTCATTATTTCTGGCATTGGGGCCCTCTGGATCGATCTGGCCAGAGAAAATCCGCAAAACGTGTTTGTGCTTTCCATCGATGTGCACCTGTTCCCCGACGTCAGATCTCAGAGAAACCCAGGCATTCCGCGGACCTGCGGATTGATTTGTTCACTCCTGGCGGATTCCCTTCCACTGGCACTAGACCCCCGACGTGCTGTTTTCTGTTTCGCAACGCAACCGTCAGACCCGGAAGGTCTGGACCACTCCTCGGGGGTCTCGTTTTCCGCCCCGGGTCGGTGGACAGCCCCAGGGCTCGGTAAGTGCCCCTATATCGGGTGTTGCCAGAAGTGCCCCTGGCCCAAGTTGCCCCCAGGATTTCCAATGAGGCCCCATCGGCCTCCAGAGCACCCCGCACGAGGCCCAGGAGGCCCAGAAGATCCAACATCGCGCGAAAAGCTGGGGGGCACCTCAGGCCAGGGGCACCTTATACCAGGTGTTCGATCATGGACTCCTGGTTGAAAACAGCCATCCAGCTTTCGCGCCGAATATCGATGGGGATCGCCGAAGATCGTCAGAAGAGCGCCGAAGACCGTTCGAAGGCCGCAGAAGAGCGCCGAAGAGGGTCCAGGAACGACGGATCACGAAGGGCCCATGGTCGAACACGTATCCTATAGAGGCCGGAGAGTGGGGAGCAAAATCTGCGAGGCGAGGGGCGGAGGGAAGAGGGAGGAGGAAGGCGGACGCAGGGAGGAGGGAGAAGGGCGTGGTGAGGGGGGGGAGGAAGAGGAGGGGGGGAAGGAGGGAGGGAGGAGGAGGAGGGGGGGAGGAGGAGGAGGAGGAGGAGGAGGAGGAGGAGGAGGAGGAGGAGGAGGAGGAGGAGGAGGAGGAGGAGGAGGAGGAGGAGGAGGAGGAGGAGGAGGAGGAGGAGGAGGAGGAGGAGGAGGAGGAGGAGGAGGAGGAGGAGGAGGAGGAGGAGGAGGAGGAGGAGGAGGAGGAGGAGGAGGAGGAGGAGGAGGAGGGAGGAGGAGGAGGAGGAGGAGGGGAGGAGGAGGAGGAGGAGGAGTGAGGAGGAGGAGGAGGAGGAGGAGGAGGAGGAGGAGGAGGAGGAGGGAGGAGGAGGAGGAGGAGGAGGAGGAGGAGGAGGAGGAGGAGGAGGAGGAGGAGGAGGAGGAGGAGGAGGAGGAGGGAGGAGGAGGAGGAGGAGGAGGAGGAGGAGGAGGAGGAGGAGGAGGAGGAGGAGGGGAGGAGGAGGAGGAGGAGGAGGAGGAGGAGGAGGAGGAGGAGGAGGAGGAGGAGGAGGTGGAGGGGGTGGAGCATCAGGAGGAGGAGGAGGAGGGAGGAGGAGGAGGAGGAGGAGGAGGAGGAGGAGGAGGAGGAGGAGGAGGAGGAGGGGGGGAGGGGGAGGAGGAGGAGGAGGAGCAGCAGGAGCAGCAGGAGAGGAGGAGGAGGAGGAGGAGGAGAGGAGGAGGGAGGCAGGAGAGGAGGAGGGGAACGCTGCAGTCGGCCGTCCGAAGTGCGTCCGGAAAAAGCATGAGGGAGTGCGTGGCGAAGGGCGTCCAGGGGCCTGCAGCGGGGGTGGGGGCGGGCAGTGAGCGCGGGGGGGGGGGCGCCCGCCGCAGGAGCTGAGCTCGATGCTCCCCGTGGCGCTGCTGGACCCGCGGCCCGGAGACGCGGTCGCGGGGGGCCTCGCCCTCCTCCTCCTTCGCCTCCTCCTCCTCCTGCTCCTGCTCTTGCTCCTGCTCCTCCTCCGTCCTCCTCCTCCTCCTCCTCCTCCTCCTCCTCCTCCTCCTCCTCCTCCTCCTCCTCCTCCTCCTCCTCCTCCTCCTCCTCAGCTGCCATCTCCTCCCAAACCCACATTCAGCAGCGGCAGCGACCCCCTCGCTCCCAGAGAGATTTAGCGTTCAATCACCTTATACCAGCCTGGCTCGGCCTCCGATGCATTTGGCAAGCCTATACAGGGGGCTGATGGTGGGCCTCCTGCGCGTCGCCCTCTACAACCCCCTCTCCCTCGTTCCCGCAGGCCGCCTCAGGGAGATCGCAGAAACCCTGAACTGTGACCTGATTATGATGCCAGGGACGAGGGTGAGGGAATGGACAGGCCGAGAGTTTCACACAGAAGATATTGGCAATAAATATACAGCTATCCACTTCGGCTGGCAGAGAGCTCCTTTCAGCAACAACAGCGCGGGGGTATGCATAGTACTTGGACGAAGATTGAAGCGACAACATGTGTATGCAGTAAAGGCAGGACCACGAAGTATTGCAGGCAGATATGGAGAAATCAGAATTAAGAGTGGACATATTGATTTGACGGCTATATGTGCATACCCCCCACCTATATATGCGAGTGGACATAAAAGACGAGCGCAGATCCAGGCGGCCACGACAGTTATGAAACATGTTCGACACCGACTAGAATTAACCCGAGCGAGAAGTACACCGATATGTGGTTTGGATATAAATTCTGGATTTGGGCTCTGGGAAGACGGCACCCCCGTGGATCTCGACCAGGACCTCCTAGGGCCCCATCACCTTCGACCAAACGGACCCGCAGGCGAATTTTTTTCGAACATGCTCCTCGATCTCGGAATGATGTCACCAGGGACTTTCTGGCCAAAGGCAGGACCCACATATTTCGGGGCCCGGGGAGACACATCAACATTGGATATCTTCGCCAGTCCTAAAGGTCTCGGGCCAGGGATTCGCCACTGCAGTGTCGCATGGCAAGCAGGTCGAAGTCTCCAGCTGATCCCCAAGAGCGCCCCCCGCGACCATGTCCCTGTCGTCCTGGAAATGCAGTATGAGCTCCCCATCCCGACACCACTGGCTCCAAAAGCAAGATGGGATTTTCAGAAGCTCTCCACAGCACTTCAGACGGGCATCGGGAGGGAGGAGTTTCATCATGAGTTGGAGACAGCTATGCTGGCACAAGCAGACTATTTCAATGAGTGCGCCACGAGCCATCAGCACACGGACGACTTCTATGACAAGTGGGCGGAGATTGTACAGCAGATCGGACTTCAACATTTCGCATTGGAGAATAGAACTACCGACACAGCGGAACACCGACTCCAACAAGAACGTGTATCCCTGGTTAAACAACGCAAGATTTACAGACTCGAGGCAGCAGAGCACTGGAAGGCATATGGACACCTTCCTGATTTTACGGATGAGTACCTTGGCGTGTTGGCTAAGTTCAAACGCATTCCATGCCAACTCAGACGTTGGGCTCGACGGCGTCGAGCAGCACACCGCGAACGCCTACATCAAGAATTGCGTGAGGCACGAGCTTTGGGCCAGCAAGCCGAAGTGCACAAGCTTGCACGCCTACTCTCTGGACGATCAACTGGTGTGAAGAACCGACGTTACAATACTATTTCTTCTTATGAGCCGTCACTGGATGAACTGAAAGGACATCTCGCACGACACGGATCAGATGGGGGCATGGAAGCGACACATATTCCCGATTTGAATCTCATGCTCCGCGACTTCCTCTCGCAGGAACCACCCATCATCAAGCAGCGCAACACCAGCATGGAGATCACCGCCTCTGTCATGGTCCGACAAATGATCTGGAAGTTAAGACGAGCCCGAGCCCGTGGCAGACGCTGTGGGCCGAAGTGGAGTGTACCATCGGAACTGGCATTAATAGTACTTGCACCCGGACATCTTTCGAAGCAGCGATATTCCAAGTTCGGCCTGGGGTACGGCGTCACCTCTGTGCATCACGACGCACCAGATGGGCGACAAGGATTGGGCCATCAAGGGCAGACTTCGCCGCCAACTGTCGCCACGACCCCAAGCTGGATACCCCAGGCCCAGGACAAACAACATCAGGACCAGGCTCCCACGTCGGAGGCTGGCAGGCTACCTCTACGTTGGACCACCGCCGACGAGGATGACGCTGACCCATTCGCAGAGGTCGACAACCTCGATCACGACACACATGCAGCGGAATCGGAGGGACCAGCCGAGCCCCCCCCCCTCCTGAACCTCGGACAGGGCAGCCAACTACGCTCGATTCAGGACGGGAAGCCTCAGAAGAACAACGAGCCCCTGACGGACGTGAACACATCTTGGCTACAACAGCTGAGATGACGAGAGCACGCCTGGAGTTTGAAAATATTCTGATTCGGTCTTTCGAGGTGGGGCAGCTCCCCACCAAGTCTAGTATCACTGAGGGGATCCTGCTTGACAAGTCTAACGACACGTCTAACATGTTTAGCCAGAGGATAGTACATTTATCGGATGTGTTTTGGAAATATTGGTATTCAGTACTATACAGCTGGGGGGATAAAGATGAGGCATATGACAAATCGTTTTCGGGACGATGACATGGATTTCTGAAGTATCGGAGGAGGGAGGGGGCCATGCTAGTACAACTACGACTAGGCTGGTCTCTGCGAAAAGCCAGGGTCCCCCATGTATGCGAGCTTCACGACATGACGAACGCTTTCTTATGTCCATCCACGGAGGATCTTTTAACCCATACCTCCGAAGTAATGGTGCGCGAGGACCTACAGGGCTTCGCGAAGCAGCGCCTGATCAACAGTGTGGTTTTAATTGAAGTAGATAGCAAGCCCGAAGCATTTATTACCAGGAATGGGGGGCTCCAGGGGTCATGTGAGGCACCTCGACAATTCGTCGGCGTCTTCGACCAGTGCTATGACGAAATCATCGAGATCGACGGGGCCCCCATATATCTTTCAGGAGTTTTTGGCAACACGGCTTTAGATTGTTCATTGGTAGGTTTTGCAGATGATTTATTTCGGCGACGCATTCTAGAAGATCCCTCGGCGTCTGAGGCTCTAGAGGCAATCCGAGAAGGCGACTCGAAGATGAATCGGGTCCTGGGAAAATGGCGCTTTCAGCAGAACGTGCAAAAGAAAGACATCATACCCTGCCTGGGATCCACACGAGAAAACCGTCGCCTTCAGGAGATTTGCCCTGAGTCGTGTGGCACTGTTCGCAGTCATGCTAGGCATCTGGGAGCTCGACATCATATGAATGGCTCTAATGCTCCAGAGGTACAGTGCAGAATCCGCTCTATGCACGCGGGCTGGTCTGTCATAGGTCTATTTTGGCACGAGCGTGGGTTGCATCGACTTAAGCGCGAGCTCTTTCTTGGCAAAGTCGTGGAAAGTGGCATCACGGGTCTTGAAGCATTTGTCCTTAAGCCAGCAGAGTATCAGAAGATAGATTCCTGTACTGTAAGATACCTCAGAGTTCTATTGCGGGGTGCTGCCACTTCCTACGATGGGCCACACGTTCGCACACTTCGGAATTCAGAGGTGCTCTACAGATTTCGCATCCTCCCTGCTCGGGGGGAACTGGCGGTGCGCAGGATTCGGTGGCTTCAAGGCATGCCCACCCACCGTCACGCCCACCGCCAAACGATCGCGGCGATCTTCTGTCATTTACAGAAGGAGAGACCGACGCTGTTGCCAGACGGACAGCTCAGCATCGACGCGAATCCCTGGGCAAAAGAGTTTCATCGCAGCCTGTACCTTTACGAGGGGATCAGTGGGACCGAGAGTTTCTTCGAGGCTTGGGAGGCGGCTGGGTTTTCGTGGAAAGCCCTATTCGAACCCAACTCTGACTCGTTCCAGGAGTTTCTGAATATTGACCCCTCGATCTTGAGAGCAGCAGCGTTCACGGATTACGACAAATGGTGTACTCTATTCCCCGAAGTACATAACCCCGAAGCCAAAAGCGAACACGTATACACATGCGCGATCACGGACCCCGAGGGAAACCCATGTGGCCTCCAGTTCGACACCTACAGGGCTCTCATGGGACACCAAACAAATGGACATAAGATGAAATATATACTTCATAGTGGAGTCATTGCGAACCAGTGCCCAAATTGTATGAGTATATTCAGAGATGTACACAATGCTCGCAAACATCTGAAACATTCTTATGGATATGGCCGATGTCTAATGGGAAGAGCTCACATGTCTTGGGAACCCGAGCAGAAAGACGAATGGAATTGTCCTCTATGCCCGAGTTCCGTAGTGTTTCCATCGAGCATCGATTACTTTCGCCACCTGCAAGACGAGCATCTACCCAGACCTCTCCCGACACTATTTTACCATGCCTGGCGTCCTGGCGGCACTGACTGGATCAGCAGCGGGCTCGGGCGGAGACGGGGGCCAGGGCCTTCGCGACGAGAGGAAGAAGGGCCGCACCGAGGGCGGCGCGAAGGAAGAGTCCAAGCAGATCGCCGAGCAGATCCCCGACAAGCAGAAGAAGCTCTTCGCACTCATGCTGAAGCAGATCCTCAGGCTCAGCCAGCAGTGCCGCGACATGTCAGGGGTCATCTTCGACACTCTCACCGTCCCGATGACGGTCGCATTCATTACGATGATGAGCGAACAGACCGTGGCCTACGCCGCCGAGACCAAGTCAAAGGGCAAAGAGCACACCCTCGGACCTCCGCACATATATGCGATGGGCGGCCTCATCAAGGGACTCATGACGTACGGGGACAGCCTCGGAGCCCAGAACAACACCGACCTCGCGACAGCATGGAAGGAGTACGACGGGTACTCAGTCGAGCAGAAGTGCGAGCTAATTCTATTCTGCCGCCAGGACAAGGTCTTCCAGAAGGAACGTCGCAGGATCACCTTCGCCACCAGGGACGCGAAGTTCCGCAGCATTCTACTGGCCT